TTTTTTAAAAAAAATTTTTTTGGGGTTTGGGGAAAACAAATTTTAAAAAAAAAAAAAAAAGGGGGGGTTTTTTTTTTTTTTTTAAAAAAAAATTTTTTTTTAAAAAAAAACCCCCTTTGGGGGGGCCCTTTTTAAAAAAAAAAAAAAAAAAAAAAAAAATTTTTTTTAAAAAATTTTTCCCCAAAAAAAATTTGGGGGGGTTTTTTTTTTTTTTTTAAAAAAAACCCCCCGGGGGGAAAAAAAGGGGCCCTTTTTTTCCAGGGGGTTTTAAAAAAAATTTTTTTTTTCCCCTTTTTTTAAACCCCAAAAACCCTTTTTTTTTAAAAAAAAGGGGGGGGCCCCCCCAAAGGGGTTTTCCCCCGGGGGGGGGAAAAAAAAAAATTTTTTTCAAAAAAAAAAATTTTTTTTTTTTTTTTAAAAAAAAAAGGGGAAAAAACCAAAAAAATGGAAATTTTTTTTTGGAAAAAAAAAAAATTTTTTAATTTTTTTTTTTTTTAAAAAAGTTTTTTTAAAAATTGGAAAAAAAAAAAAAAAAAAAGGGAAAAATTTTAATTTTTTTTTTTTAAATTTTAAAAATTTTTTTTGGGGGGGGTTTTTTTTTAATGGGTTTTCGGTTTTTGGGGGGAAAAAAAGGGGGAAAAAAATTTTTTTTCCCCCCGGCCCCCCCCTTTTTTTTGGGGGAAAGGAAAAAAAAAAAAAAAAAAAATTTTTGGGGGGGTTTTTAAAAAAAATTTTATTTTTTTGGGGGGAAAAAAAGACAGAGAGAGAGGGGGGGGGGGCCCCCCCCAAAAAAGGCCCCCCTTGACCCAGTAGTGGTGGTTGGGGGAAAAAAAAAAACCCCCCCCCCGGTTTTGGTTTAAAAAAAAATTTTTTTTTCCCAAAAAGGGGGGGGGGAAACCCCCCCGGGGGGGGGGGTTTTTTTTCCGGCCCCCCGGGTTGGAACCCCCCCAAGTTTTCCCCGGGAAAGGGAAAATTAAAAATTTAAACCCAAAAAAAAAAAAAGGGAAAATTTTAAAACCCCTTTTTGCCTTTTTTGGGGGGGGGAAAAAAAAAAAAAAAGGGAAATTTTAAAAAAAAAAAACCTTTAAAAGGAAAAAGGCAAGGGGGGAAAAGGGGGGGGAAAAAAAAAAAGGGGGGGAAATTGGGCCAAAAAAAACCCAAATGGGGGCCCCCCAAAAGGGGGGGTTTTGGGAAAAAATTTTTTCCCCCCAAAAACCCCCCCCCCCAAAAAAAAAAAATTTTTTTAAAAGGGCCCCAAAAAAAAAAAAAGGGGGTTTCCCCCTTGGGGTTTTAAAAAAGGGGGGGTTTTAAACGGGGGGTTCAATTTTTTAAAAAACCCCCAAAAGGGGGGGGGGAAAAAAAAACCCCCAAAAAATTTTGGGGAAAAAAAATTTCCCTTTGGGGGCCCCCCCCCGGGGCCCCCCCCAAAAAAAAATGTAAATTTTTATTTGGGAAAAAGGCCCCCGGGAAAAAAAAAAAAAAAGGGGGAAAAAAAAAAAGGGAAAAAAAAAAAAAATTTTGGGGTTTTTTTAAAACCTTGGCCAAAAAAGGGAAAAAAGGTTTTTTTAAAAAAAAGCGGTTTCCTTTGGGGGTTTTTTCCCCCTTTTTCCCAAAAAAAAAACCCCAAAAACCCTTTTGGGGAAAACCAAAAAATTTTAAAAAAAAAATTTTTTCCCCCCCCTTTAAAAAAATTTTTTTTTTAAAAAATTTAAAAAAATTTTTTAAAAGGGAAAACCCCTTTCCCCCCCAAAATTTTGGTTTTTTTCTTAAAAGCTTTTAAAAAAAAGGGGTTTTTTCCCCCCCCCCCCGGGGGGGTTTTTTTTTTTTTGGGGGGGGGGGGGTTGGGGGGGGGGTTTTTTTTGGGGGGGGGTTTTTTTGGGGGGGCCCCAAAAAGGGGGGGGGGGGGGGGGGGGGGGCCCTTTTTTTGGGGGGGGGGGGGGGGGGGGGGGGGAAAAAAGGGGGGGGGGGGGGGGGAAAAAAACCCCCGGGGAATTTTTTTGGGGGGGGGGGGGGGGGGGGTTTTGGGGGGGGGGGGGGGGGCTTTTTTTAAAAAAGGGGGGGGGTTTTTTGGGGGGGGGGGGAAAAAAAAAGGGGGGGGGAAACCCCTGGGGGGGGGGGGGGGGTTTTTTACCAAATTGGGGGGGGGGGGGGGGAAAGGGGGGGGGGGGGGGAAAAAAGGGGGGGGGGGGGGGGTTTTTTTTTTTGGGGGGGGGGGGTTTGGGGGGGGGGGGGTTGGGGGGGGGGGTTTTTTTAGGGGGGGGGGGGGGCGGGGGGGGGGGGGGGGGGGGGGGGGGGGGGGGGGGGGTTTTTTTTTTTGGGGGGGGGGGGGGGGGGGGGGGGGGGGGAAAAGGAAAAAGGGGGGGGGGGGGGGGGGGGGGGCCCGGGGGGGGGGGTTTGGGGGGGGGGGGGGGGGGGGGGGGCGGGGGGGGGGGGGGGGGGGGGGGGGGGGGCCCGGGGGGGAAAAAGGGGGGGGGGGGGAGGGGGCCCCGGGGGGGGGGGGGGGGGCCCCGGAATTCCCTTTGGGGGGGTTTTTGGGGGGGGGGGTTTCCCCCCCCAAAAAAAAAAGGGGGGGGGGGGGGGGGGGGGGGGGGGGGGGCCCCGGGGGGGGCCCCCCGGGGGGGGGGGAAAAAAAAAAAAGGGGGGGGGGGGGGGGGGGCCCAAAAGGGGGGGGGGGGGGGGGGGGGGTTTTTTGGGGGGGGGGGGGGGGGGGGGGGGGGGGGGGGTGGGGGGGGGGTGGGGGGGGGGGGGGGAAGGGGGGGGGGGGGGGGGAAAAAGGGGGGGGGAAAAAAAAGGGGGGTTTAAGGGGGAAAAAAGGGGGGGAAAAAAAAAAAAAGGGGGGGAAAAAAAAATTAAAAAAGAAAAAGAGAGGAGGAAAAAAAAGGGGGGGGGGAAAAAAAAAAAAAGAAAAAAAAGAAAAAAAAAAAAAAGGGGGGGGAGAAAAAGAGAGAAAGAGAGAAAAAAGGGGAAAAAGAAAAAGAGAGAAAAAGGGGAAAAAAGAGGAAAAAGAGAGAAAAGAAAAAAAGGGAAAAAGGGGGAAGGGGAAAGAGAAAGGGGGGGGAAAAAAAAAAAATTTTTTTGGGGGGGGAAAAAAGGGGAAAAAAAAGAAAAAAAAAGGGGGAAAAATTTTTAAAAAAAGGGGGGGGAAAAAAAAAAAAGGGAAAAAATTAAACCCAAAAGGGGGGGAAAAAAAAGGGGGGAAAAAAAAGAAAAAAAAAAAAAAAGGGGGGGGGGGGAAAAAGGGGGGGGGAAAAAAAGGGGGGAAAAAGAGGGGAAAAAAAAACCAAAAAAAAAAGGGGGGGGAAAAAGGAAAAGGGGGGGAAAAAGAAAAAAAAACCCCAAAAAAAAAAGGGGGGGGGGGGGGGAAAAAAAACCCCTTAAAAAAGGGGAAAAAAAAGGCCGGGGGGGGGGGGGGAATTTCCCAAAAAAAAAAAAAACCCCAAAAAAAGGGAAAAAAAAAAAGGGGGAAAAAAAAAAAAGGGGAAGGGGGAAAAAAAAACCCCCCCCAAAAAAAAAAAAAACCCGGGGGGCCCAAAGGGGGGCCCCCAAAAAAAAAAGGGGAAAGGGGAAAAAAAGGGGAAAAAAACCCCCAAAAGGGGGGGGGGGAAAATTTAAAAGGGGGGGGCAAAAAAAAAACCCCAAAACCCGGGGGGGGGGGGAAAAAACCCCCCCCCCCCCCCCCCCCCCCCCAAAAAAAATTTCCCCCCCCCCTTAAAAAAGGGGGGGGGGGCCCCAAATTTTTTTTTAAAAAGGGGAAAAAAAAACCCCCGGGGGGCCCCCCCCCCCCAAACCACAAACCCCTTTCAAAAACCCGGGGGAAAACCCCCCAAAAAAAAAAAACCCCCCCCCAAAGGGGGGAAAATTTTTTAAAAAAGGGGGGGCCCCCCCCCCTTTTTAAAAAAAAAAAAAAAAAAGGGGGGGGAAAAAAAAAGGGGGGGGAAAAAAAGGGGGGGAAAAAAAAAAAAAAAAAAACCCCCCCCCAAAAAAAAAAAAAAATTTTGGGGGGAAAAAAAAAAAAAGGGGAAAGGGGGGGGGAAGGGAAAAAAAGGGGGGGCCCGGGGGGAAGGGGTTTAAAAGGGGTTGGGGGGGGGCCCCAAAAAAGGGGGAAAAAAAAGGGGGAAAAAAAGGGGGGGGGGAAAAAAGGGGAAAAAGGGGGGGGGAAAAAAAAGGGGGGGGTTTTTTTGGGGGGGGGAAAAAAAAGGGGGGGCCCCAAAAAAAAAAAGGGGGGGGGGGGAAAAAGGGGGGGAAAAAAAAGGGGGGAACTGGTAATCTCGTACCTCCTCCTAATTTCCAAACTATGAATTCTCTGCATTATAATCACACCACACACTGCCCTCAGACATATTTCCACTGCCTTCAGCCTTCTTGTTGCAATATTCACCACCCATGCTTCACACCCATATAAGAGCATTGGTACAACTATACTCTCATTCATTTCCCTCTTTGCTTACTTGGACAAAGTTCTTTGTCTCCACACACTTCTCAGTGCACCACTCACCTTTTTCCCCTCATCAATTCTACAATTCACCCCATCTTTCACAAACCCATCTGCTGACACGTCCATTCCTAAATATCTGAATACATTCACCTCCTCCATACTCTCTCCCTCCAATCTGATATCCAATCTTTTGTTACCTAATTTTTTGTTATCCTTGTCAACTTACTCTTTCCTATATTCACTTTTAATTTTCTTCTTTTACATACCCTACCAAACTCATCCACCAACCTCTGCAACTTCTCTTCAGAATCTCCCAAAAGCACAGTGTCATCAGCAAAGAGCAACTGACAACTCCCACTTTGTTTAGATTCTTTATCTTTTAACCCCATACTTCTGCCAACACCCGAGCATTCTACTTCTCTTACAACCCCCTCTATAAGCATATTTTTATGAATTCACAAGTCATTTATAATGACTGAAGGGAATTGAGCCAGACCTGACCACAGCCATGTTGGCAAGATTTGTCTGTATATACTGAATTGTAGTCCGTGGGGGAGATGCTCACCTTTCTATAGTGTATAGAAAAACATGCAGCTGAGCAAATCTTATTAGGCTGGCTTAGTACAGTGGTTAGTGAATTGATCTGCCAGTTTTAAGACTGGCTTGCCAGTCTTAAAACTGCTACATGGGTGTTAGACAAAAGGGCACTTAACTTATCTGCCAAAAACAATCACCTATGATCTGGATTTTCTGAGCTAGCGTAAAATATTCTTCTTTGATAAGTAAAAATTTATGTGTGTAAAGAGAATAAAAATTCTGGACAGAACTAATTTCGTAAAAATAGACTCACGAATTAAAAAAAAAGAAAAAATGGTTATTTAATACACACCCATTGTTAACTCTTAGTCTTGGAGAGCAAGTAGCTGTAAGCAAGTACTGCCCACATGGCGACCAACTGAAATATGTACTGTCGGAGCATTCTGTTTCGCCAATTTTCTTGCGTGCTGATATGTCCCACATCTGCAACAAAACAAAATTTTGATTATCAAACATGGTTTTGTTTTTTACAACCAGTCAGCCTCAAAGTCACTCACAGAAACACCACTGTGGGAAAAGTAAAGAGTTTTTCTTCAGGTAAGAATTCTTTTTTTTTTTTTATGTGCACTGCAGCATCAATGTTGGCCTCTTCTAACTCTACACTAAATTAATACTCTTATTTTATTTTTACTTTACTTTTACTTGTCTCTACCTACTATTGTCCTCCTTTCACACTTAACTTCCACACATGGAAGTACTGAACAGGCAGTCCCCATTTAATGAATGGGTTGAACTGCTGAAAAATCACTTGATAGGTGAATCTTCATTCACTGCAATATTTTTCCATAATTTTATAATACATTCCAGCAAAAAATGGGGAAAAAAAGGAAGATGAGGACAGTTATTAACACACACGTAGATATTACTGTAAAGATCAAAGTGATTTTATTATACCGTACAGTGGAACCTCAGTTTTCGTGTGCCCTGATTTTGGTAAGATACGGTTTTCGACGACTTTTTTCATCAAAATTTTGTCCATTTTCATACATCCGCTTGGTTTTCGTAGAGTTGACAATGGTCCACTGTATTAAATGTGTCCGCCTGCGTGCACCCACACAAAGCATCCCACGCGTTCTGATTCAGTCTGGCTTTGTTTCTCATTGAGTGAGCATTGTGAAAATGTGCCTTCTTCAGTTTTTAAGGACATGTGTGCAAAGTGGAATGAGTTGCAAAGTTTTGTGCAGAAATGTCACCCTAACAAAGCTGTTGCAAGCCATGTCTGCAACATGTTCAATAACAATACCTTGTCTCATTTTAGGCAGATCTTAAAGAGATGTCCAGAAACAGACCTCTCTGGACAGATTTTTTGTGAGACAGGGGTCCAGTGACAAGCTGGTCCTAGTGCCAGTAAAAGACAAAGAAGGGAAGTAACCCAAGAGGGCCTTGATACCTGAAGTCCTTAATGGAGGGGGATTTCCCTTCCAAACACTTACCTCTCCTCCTCTCTCTCCCCTCCTTGCCGTCTTCCATACGCCAACAAGAGTCTTCAATAAAGGTAAAAGTGATGTTACATGTTCATTTATCCATTTCATTAGTCATTTATATTTCTCATTGTTTTCTGTATGTAAAACTATAGTTATTCTCTATAAAATGTATTTTTTTGTTAATATTTTTGGGTGTCTGGAACAGATTAATTGGATTTACATTAATTATGGGAAATACTGCTTCAGTTTTCGTACAATTCGGTTTTCACCAGACTTTCTGGAATAAATTTATCACGAAAACTGAGGTTCCACTGTATATTGTGACAATTACATGAAAATGAAGAAACCATTTAAACTGCTTTGGCTGCGGTATAAGCTAAATTGTGACAAAGGCTGAGAATATGTGATAGGTTTTACAATATTTGTATTTCTCCATCAGAAGCAATGGTTAGTACAGCATGTAGTGTCTCACTTGCAAGAGGGCTAGAGAAAATTTTTGCTTTGAAAACTATCATATACATGAATGATAAGACATCAAAATTTAATTACATCTGGATAAACCCAGCCAATTTAGACTAATACATTAACCCTGTAGCATTCTAAGCCCATTGGTCCACTTTAGGGATGAGGCCTACCCGATCTCAGGGCTGAATTGTGACTGCTCGCTACAGGGATCTTTGCACCGTAACCAATCATACCTATTATCAGTGGAAGGAGTGAGATATAAAAAGTGCAGTCTGGTGTTCCATCACCTGCAATCATCGGCAAGTAGGAACAATATGTGACGACTAAAAATTCATAAAAACAACTATCAAAGATATGGAAAAGTCTCAAGGTAATCTTCAGTAAGGCCAATCTACAGTGACCCCGCATAACGTTTACTTCCAATGCGACAGATTATGTAAGTTAATTATTAAGTGATTGTAGTGCTGTTTGGGGTTCTAATGACTGAATCACTCACAATATTTACATATGGAAAACAAATTCGCATACGACCTGAACAACTTCAAGATTGAAAAAAATATCGTTAACGGATGGGTCCACTGTATAACATATTAGATGCACATCCAAATACCTCCAAGCTAATGATAGAAAAATAAAAAATGTTTTGGGGTAAGGCGTAAGACACATCCATCGGCATTGTTTGAATGAAGATGTTACACAGCTGAAAAAATGTAAAACAATTATATTACACTAAACACATCAACTCTTAACACAGCTTACCTCATATCTAGCTGCAATGTTACCAAATCCACCTACTAACACAATATTGCCAACTGGATTAACAAGCACAGTGTTTCGTGCCCCTGAACCAAACTCAGCAATGGCTTCACATTTCTGGTTAAAAAGTGTGGCTTTGGACGGCATTGTACCATATACTGCGAAGAATTCTTGTCCACTGGGACACCATGCCACTGAGTGAATATTTCCAGGTTTGGCTGCAACAGAAAGATTTGGCTGAATTGAATACATAATGAAAATAAAATATTTCACATTAAATATCAGGCTGCCACAAGTTTTTTATTTTTTTGTTACTACTGCCCAGTGTTTCTGCATCTTATCTAAGTTCCTCCCTTGTACAAAACAGTATGTGTTTTTGGAAAGGGGGGGGGGAGGAGGGGTAATGTTCATTCTTTCTATACACTTTTCATGTGAACAAGATTGCCACTAGGTTGATCCTGGAGCTGAAAGGCAAATATGCTGTGTGGATAGATTACAAAAGTAATGGCAACAGGCTGGTAGACAGTAAACTTAAAGGGCAATACTACCGACTTCACTTGTCATAAGTGTGTCAAATGTAAGCCTGATCTGAATCCTATATTTTTTTTTTTTTTATTATCACACTGGCCGATTCCCACCAAGGCCCGAAAAAGAAAAACTTTCACCATCATCCACTCCATCACTGTCTTGCCAGAAGGGTGCTTTACACTACAGTTTTTAAACTGCAACATTAACACCCCTCCTTCAGAGTGCAGGCACTGTACTTCCCATCTCCAGGACTCAAGTCCGGCCTGCCAGTTTCCCTGAACCCTTCTATACATTTCTACTTATATTCAGTTGATCCTTGTCTTTACTTTCCTGTGTTTTTTTATTTTACAATTCTTAATAGTTCATTTCCAGCATAGGAGGCATGGTATGAAACTGGGTTGTAGTAACCAGAATCACTGGGGGGAATAACAAAAGTAAAAAATAATCAAGGACTACTGACAAGATAGAAAAGGATAAATTGTTTCACAAAGGGTCTACAATTAGGAGTCACATATGGAAAATGGACACCCAGATGAGCCATTAACATGTTAGATTATTATAAGTATGTGGAAGCCATAAATGTGTTAAGAGGTCATATAGTGCCTGAGGAAAGGAAGTTAATCAAGACTGATCCAAGAAAAAGAGAGGGTAGCTCTAAATCATTGAATCACAAACCAAGAGCTCTTCACCAGCATCAAGGTACCCCTCACCCCCTATGTAGGGACATGGATACTTGAAAGCCTTTTCTTAGCTAAAAGGTAGTACAAAAATAGAATGAGCATGGCAATGACATAGGGGCTGACTCCATATATGGATTCAAAGGTACTACAGTAAATAGGACAGCCAGACTACAAAAGCTAATCTAAAGGCTTGCAATGAAGCAACTGCATCCCTACAAACAAAGCTAAGTAAAAAATACCACACTTACAGACTGTGACCCTTATTGAATCTCCTCGAGTATTAAGGTAGAAAAGCATGTGTTCACCATAGTATGAAAGCCCTGACTTGTCCATCTCAGCAGCAGTTAAGAGCAAACATGCTGTTGATGACTTGTTCCAGTAGCTGTCTATAGTGTCGACCTGTAATTAAAAAAAAAAAAAAATTACTTGAAATAATTTCTGACATTAAATTAATAAGAGAGCAAACCAGTAACGAGACTATCTACCTGAAAGTACCCTTGAATGAGCTAATTATAATGCAACAAACCAACTGTACTTGAAACAAAATGGTTTGACCCAGTAAATAGAAGAACAACAAATTATGATTTGACATTGAAACACTGCTAATAATGTGAAATGTGTACTACAGTAATTGTGTGCATCATTTAAGAGGCACAAAAAATAAAATATTTGTAAAACTAGGTGTAAATAATTTTAACGTAGTGTAATGAGGAACTGTCTCAATGGTAATTTTGGCGAAATATCAATACGGTTTAATCCGTGCATGTCAGCTGAATTAATCCTTAAGATATCCAAATGTAGATCTATGTTCGCTCGCATTGCGCTCCGAACGTAATCTCTTCGAGGAATAAGTCGAGTGCTAAGCGTAAAACGTAGATCTACGTTTGGCGTTAAGGTAACAGTAAATGGGGTGGGGGGGGGGGGGGAAGAGAGAGAGAGAGAAAGTAGGACAAGATTTGAGAGCAAGAGAGGCAGAGGAGCAGAAGAGCAAGAGGAGAGAGAGAGCAGAGAGGCAAGGAGAGCAAGAGAGAGCAAGAGAGAGCAAGAGAGAGAAGAGAGAGAAGAGAGAGCAAGAGAGAGCAGAGATGAGAGCGAGAGAGAGGAGAGAGGCGAGAGGAGCGAGAGGCGAGCGAGAGAGGAGGAGAGAGGAGCGAGAGAGGAGAGCGAGGAGAGAGGGAGAGAGAGCGAGAGAGGCGAGAGAGAGCGAGAGAGAGCGAGAGAGAGCGAGAGAGAGCGAGCGAGAGCGAGAGAGAGCGAGAGAGGCGAGAGAGAGCGAGAGAGAGCGAGAGAGAGCGAGAGAGAGCGAGAGAGAGCAGAGAGAGCGAGAGAGAGCGAGGAGAGAGCGAGAGAGAGCGAGAGAGAGCGAAAGCGAGAGCGAGAAGCGAGAGCGAGAGCGAAAGCGAGAGCGAGAGAAAGCGAGCAAGAGCGAAAGAGAGCGAGAGAGAAAGTGAAAAATAGAGAGAATGAGTGAGAGTCAGTGAGAAAGAGAAGTGAGAGTGAGAGAGAGTGTGAATAGAAATAAAAATGCCAGGTTAAGTTCTTCTATAGATGGGCATGGTGTGTAACTGCTCAGGCACTGAAGACCCTACATCCAACTCTTATACAATGTCAGGTAGATTATTCTTGTTCTTCATGGTATTCTACCCTAGCAACAGATTACAAATTACCCAAAATAAGATGGCGCGATTCTTCCAGGGCCCGAGTCCAAGAGAACATGTCCAAAACTGCATGATGTATAAGAATATAACTTAATTCCTCACTCTTCGATAAATGGTAAATTATCCAAGTGCCTCTGGCAAGACAGTGATAGTGTGAATGATGGTGAAAGTGTTTCTTTTTTGGGTCACTGCCTTGGTGGGAGATGGCCAGAGTTTATAAAAATTATATATATAATTTCCACCTAGGTAGGAGGTTGGTAAACAGCAACCGCCCAGGGAGGTACTACCGTCCTGCCAAGCGAGTGTAAAACAAAAGCCTGTAATTGTTTTATCGTGATGGTACGATTGCTGGTGTCTTTTGTCCGTCTCATAAACATGCAAGATTTCAGGTATGTCTTGCTACTTCTACTAGTACTTAGGTCACACTACACATACATGTACAAGCATATATATACACACCACTCTGGGTTTTCTTCTATTTTCTTTCTAGTTCTTGCTCTTGTTTATTTCCTCTTATCTCCATGGGGAAGTGGAACAGAATTCTTCCTCCGTAAGCCATGCATGTTGTAAGAGGCGACTAAAATCCCGGGAGCAAGGGGCTATTAGCCCTTCTCCCGTATAAATTACTAAATTTAAAAGAAACTTTCGTTTTTCTTTTTGGGCCACCCTGCCTTGGTGGGATACGGCCGGTGTGTTGAAAGAAAGAAAGATATAATTTCCATACCTTAAAGAAACTTTTATTGGCCAAGGCATTAGAAGCTTCCTTGAAATTTGGATAGCGATAGAGATGGACATATGCCGGAGCTCCCTGAATACCTGCAAAGAAAATAGAGAAAATTAAATAAACACCTTACAAAACAATGATTAAGATGACACTCTTCAGGTCACTTGTTCTATCTAGGCTGGAATATTGCTGCACACTAACAGCACCTTTCAAGGCAGGTGAAATTGCCGACCTAGAAAATGTACAGAGAACTTTCACGGCGCGCATAACGGAGATAAAACACCTCAATTACTGGGAGCGCTTGAGGTTCCTAAACCTGTATTCCCTGGAACGCAGGAGGGAGAGATACACGATTATATACACCTGGAAAATCCTAGAGGGACTAGTACCGAACTTGCACACGAAAATCACTCACTACGAAAGCAAAAGACTTGGCAGATGATGCACCATCCCCCAATGAAAAGCAGGGGTGTCACTAGCACGTTAAGAGACCATACAATAAGTGTCAGGGGCCCGAGACTGTTCAACTGCCTCCCAGCACACATAAGGGGGATTACCAACAGACCCCTGGCAGTCTTCAAGCTGGCACTGGACAAGCACCTAAAGTCAGTTCCTGATCAGCCGGGCTGTGGCTCGTACGTTGGTTTGCGTGCAGCCAGCAGCAACAGTCTGGTTGATCAGGCGCTGATCCACCAGGAGGCCTGGTCACAGACCGGGCCGCGGGGGCGTTGACCCCCGGAACTCTCTCCAGGTAAACTCCAGGTAATAACTTAATGGGTAATTTCAAGCTTTAATTACTTTAAAAGCTTTCCATTCTACTAGGCAGTTATAATGCATCTAGTCTTGGAAACTATTTAGAAAAATGCTGCTATATTTAATACTGTATGTAATAAACTCTTTTACAATTTGACTGCACCTTACTCAAGTTATTGCAATACAATTCAAAAAGGGAAAACACAAAAATAAATAGAATGGGAGAATCTTGATATTATGCTCCATGAAGCATCACACAATCAGCTAATGTGTAAAATATTGTTACTACCCATCGAAGGTGTCCAAAGCATCATGTGTATAATCGAGGTACTACACATTTTGTTTATCAAACAATTCTGGACATTTATGTCACCCTTTATAGTCTCCAGGACACCTAAGAGCAATATTAGTGATGTTGGAGTTACTCAGATGAAGGAGCATGAAACTAGGAAGGTATTGAAGAAAGTAGAAGCTTTAGAAATGCTTAGAGGTGGAGCACATGTATTGAAAACTGCCTGTACTTTTGTTGCAAATGAATTGCCCATCTATACAATTAAAGGAAATGAGAAGAAAGTAAGTTTGTGTAATAAGTGCACAAACTATGGAAGACTCAAAAGAATGTTAAAGAGGTCAATATAACTAAATATGACAGAAAAGTTAATGAATTGAAGGGGTCCCAGTTAGTGCTCAGATAATAAGGCACAAAGCTCTATCGTATTTTAAAACTCAGAAGAGACAGCCATCACAATAGTGCATATGAAGTGCTGGATGGCTTGAAAGCTTTAAAAAGTGCAAATGACTTCATAATATTTAGTGGCAAGAGAGCATCAAATGATCAAGTAACCATTGGCTGTTATCCTGCTGACTACAGAAATTAATTCTAAGAATGGTTACAGTCCTGATCAACTACCTAATGCTGACAAAACAGGGCTATGTTGGAAGGTAATGTTGTTAAAAACTTTTATTTAACAAGCAAGAAAAATTTGCAATTTAATTCAGGGCAGTTACTGAGCACTTCACTTGAATCCATATGCAAGTACACCAAATGATGTCAAGTACAAGTCTACTTATTTACTGTGCAGAAAATTCCAATGCATTAAAAGGTAAAAATAGAACTTGCCTGCCTGTTATCTGGCAGTCTAACATGACAGTATGGATGACTGAAGTCCTGTTTCTTAAGAGTCATCCTTCAGTCTTAAAAGTCCCTGGACCAAAATGTCAAGGTTGTGCTTTTACCACTGAATACAGCATGATACATCTACTGGATCAAAGAGTTAGACAATTTAAATGCCATTACACATGCAATAGAAAACTCATTGCAAACAATGAATAACATCTCCAAGATTGGGAAAACCAGAGTTCAGATGGAAATCAGGCAACACAGATGCACTTAAAGGTGTCAAGGGATGACATGTCCCAGTCAACCATAAATGCAGGCTGGGGTAATTTATGGCCTTCTGTGGTGAATAACTGTTTTTTTTTCTTTGGTAAGATGTCAGAATCAGGAAATTGTGACTCTGGCAAAAACCGAGTGCTGAAGTTGGCAAAAATATGTACGACATAAGTAAATCGTTAGCATAGAATGACTAAGAATAAACTGTAGAAAAATTGCTGTAGTAGTTCAATTCTCAGCCAAGAAAGAAGAAGAGGATATGGCTGAACCTGATGATATAAAATTAACACTGCAGAAGCTAAGTGAGTACCTCCATGCTATTGGTAAAGCTGCAGAATTTTTCACTAAACAGGATCCTAATCTGAAGCAAGCAATGCCTTACTGCAAACCCTAAAAAGTACTACAGGATAAAACAGACAAGACCCATAATACAGAATATGTAAGCACTCCAATATAACTATCAATCACTGACAACTTTGACATTTTATCTATTTATAAAAGTTTCAATCTAGATTATCTTTTAAAGATAATATTACAGGAAATAAGGCCTAATTCTTAGCCTTGTCCAGGTTTAATTTATATAAAAAATGGAAATGGTACTAAAAGACAAAATAGATGATGAAAGTAAGACTTATTAATGTAATACTTACTAGGTACAAAAAAGATTACATAATGGTTGTTGATGGATGGTGAAAGACTGAATGATCGAACTTTCTGAATAATTTTCCTCTCAGCAATAGTTTGCAGGTCATTGGCATTATAGAAGTGAACTTCACTGGTAATATTGCGTGCAAATATTGCTTCATCATCTGTCCACTGTGGCTTCCTGAAAAGAATTTTTTTTTTTAATACAAACCTGAAAAATTCCGACCACAATATTTGATCGTATCTGACAAAATAATACACAATTTTTTGTGAAGGTTGCACAGGCCTTAAACTGAGAATAAGTATATAATTTTTTTTTTAATAACAAACTCTTACCCCAAACCAGGGCTATTAAAAAAAAAACTACTTCACTCACTTTAGCGTGTTTTTGAATAGTACAGGTACTCTACTGAAATGTTGATCCACCAAATCACATCCCAACTACATTTGAAGAACTGACTGAACCATACTTCCTAACCTCCCTCTTTGAAGGCATATATACAGTGGAACCCTGGTTTTCGTCCAGTCCGGTTATTGGACAGTTCAGTTTTCAACCACTTTTCTCGGCGAAATTTCCACAGTTTTTGTACATCCACTCTGAAATTGTCCGTACCAGATGTGTCCGCCTATTAGCGGGACGCAGCCACTCATAGCTTGTGACTCAGTCTGCCTTTCTTACTCAGGGTGGTACTGATGGTGGTTGGTTGTTGTAGTGGATGGTAGCGATAGTGGTAGTGATGGTGGTAGAGGGTGGTAGTGATGGTGGTAGAGGGTGGTAGTGATGGTGGTAGAGGGTGGTAGGGATGGTAATAGAGGATGTAATGGTTGTGATGGTGGTAGTGACTGTGGTAAAGGGTGGTAATAGAGAACCTATCCTCCCTCTCCCCTCCTCGCTGTCTTCCAAATGCCAACAAGTCTTCAATAAAGGTAAAAGTGTTTTAAATGTTCATTTATCCATTTCATTAGTGATTTTTATTTATTTCTCATTGTTTTCTGTATATAAAACTATAGTTACTCTCTATAAAATGTAATTTTTGTTTATATTTTTGAGTATCTGGAATGGATTAATTGGACTTACATTATTTCTTATGGGTAATATTACTTCAGTTTTCGAACAAATTGGTTTTTGGCCAAACTTCTGGAACAGATTAAAGACAAAAACCGGGGTTCCACTGTACTTGTAAAAAAAATTATTTCCATGCTCTGCTCAAACAGCATACCAAAACCATAAGACATTTGTCCTTCCATTTTGATTTAACACATTCAACACAAACTTGCTGAATTATAAACCTACCTCTTGATACCTTTTGTGCCAACCTCCCATCCATCTTGGTTTATACAACATTCTCTATCAACTTCCTTTATAAGTATTATATGCTTAATACAAGTGTCACAGTGGCTTGCAAGTTCATAAAGAAATAAAATGTATTTTGTTTTAGCACTTTCATTTTGAGCAAAGCCTATATTGCTGATATTTTGTATGTGCATGTTTCAGAGTAAACAAAATTTCACACAAAAATACATAATAGAACAGTAACGCAGTTAAAAGGCTCTAATAATGTCCAGTTGCATCAACTTAAGCAACTTGATTGTTTATTAGGCAAGTGGGCTATATTGAACTTATATGAAAGCATTCCTTGAGAGCTGAGTGGGGAGATTTTTATACATTACGTAGTTATATTCTTGGAAAAAAATGTTCATGCAGTGCCTAGGGAATGACAGGTAATCAGATTTAATCCAAGAAAGGGAAGGATAGCTCTAACTCCTTAGATCAAGAGACCTTCAACCAGCATCAAGGCAACCCCTTCAAGGAAAATTATGAGAATAGCAGCAGCAAGTAATACAAACAAGGGGATAATTCAAGCAACTAAGGAGACAATAAATCTTAAAAATATAAAAAAAAAAAACCTTACCAATTTACTTGACTTGGCTGGAAGAAAGATTTCAGTGGTTTCTTTCCCGTTACGTCATAAACACTCAAGTTTGGTTGCAACTGACTTTGGTCTGTTGTTTCTGAAAGGGCCAAAATGGAATTAATTCAACTATTTTGTATTTTCAACCTCTTCGAACTAAAATATGCAAAATGTATTACGAAGTGCTGAAAGCAACGAAAATTCTGCTGAAATAATATTTACATTCCTAAGATACACCTACCATCCGACTTACAACCTGCTCGACATACGACCACTCGACTTACGACCGTGTTTTGTATGCCAAATTTCTGGGAAATTAACAATGGTTTGTGATGTACACAGTGTTTATCCTAAACCTTACAGTATAAAATACAGTACTAACAGCATAAAAAGCAATATAAAAAATGAAATACCAGAATAAAACAATAAAATAACGTCATTACAAAAATGTGATGTTGATATTCTGTAGTAAGAAACCATGCCCCGGCTGGGATTGAACCCGTGGTCAGAGAGTCTCAAAACTCCAGACCGTGGCTAACGCGACGGTCTAGAGTTTTGAGACTCTCTGACCGCGGGTTCAATCCCGGCCGGGGTATGGTTTGTTTGCAATCGTGTCATTACGATTTCATGAGTTCTGTAGTAAGAGTCGACTTGTGTCTATTTTGACTTATGACCAGTTGGTCGGAACCAAGCTTGTAAGTCGAATGGTAGGTGTACATTACAAAGACAAGTAGATTTTGACATCTAAAGTTTTAAAGGAAAAAAAATAAAAAAATGTAAGCAGAAGTTCTTGAAAGTGTCAAGTAAAAACTATATATAAATTGCCAGAGTAACTGTAATGTCTCTGAAATGTATAGACTACTGAACATTATAAACACACAATGTAAAGCCTTTCTCTATATTTGTACAATGCTATAGTACATAAAATACTTAAATATAATAATTTTAGAAACTGAAAACATATAATATTAATGACTGACAAACAGAGAATCTGATCTTTAGTTTACAGACTAAAAATTAAGTTATGCCAATATTATCAAACTTTGTTCCAAGAATGGAAGGTTTCAAACCTGAGGCCAAGTGTGTGCTAGTCATGAGCTCTACCACTGGCTACTGTTTCTGGTAATATCTACAGGCTTTCCTATCTGGTGCTGACTACAATGGATTTCACAAATGAAACATCAATATCTGGATATCTGTACTTCAAACCATACCACGGGCGGGGATAGAACCCGTGATCAGAGTCTCAAAACTCCAGATTGTCGCGTTAGCCACTGGGCCAGCTAGCCACAATAAGATTCATTCAACTAGGTATATTTCTACACCATAGGAAGGTTAGCATGGGCGCCACTCTGACCACAAATGGAGTTTGGTCTGGAGTTTTGAGACACTGATCATGGGTTCTATCCCCGCCCGTTGTATGGTGTGTTTGCAATCGTGTCATTACGATTTCATGAGTCAATTGTACTTCAAATATTTCACCGACTATGGGCTTTATGAATTTTATACATAAACAGAGGAGCTAGTAGTAGTGGTCATAAAGCACGAGCAAGACTTGCTAATGGAGACGTAATTTACTGGCCATGGAAGCAGTAGCCAAGTTTGACATCTGACGTGGTAGTAACAGTGGTAAACTGAGCAAGAATTCTGTTGGTTACGAAGGTGTTCAGTTCCTAGGAAATGAATATAAGTACTGTATAACATTCTACAAAAGGTGTTCAGTCTTAGCTTTAATCCACAATAAACAAAAATACATAAAGCATGTTGTAGGTAGTAGGTTGGTAGACAGCAACTGCACAGGGAGGTACTACCGTCCTGCCAAGCGTGTGTAAAACAGAATCCTGTAATTGTTTTACATGATGGTAGGATTGCTGGTGTTTTTTTTCTGTCTCTTAAACATGCAAGATTTCGGGTGCGTCTTGCTACTTCTACTTACACTTAGGTCACACTACACATACATGTACAAGCATATATATACAGACCCCTCTGGGTTTTCTTCTATTTTCTTACTAGTTCTTGTTCTTGTTTATTTCCTCTTATCTCCATGGGGAAGTGGAACAGAATTCTTCCTCCATAAGCCATGCGTGTTGTAAGAGGCGACTAAAATGCTGGGAGCAAGGGCCTAGTAACCCCTTCTCCTGTATGAATTACTAAATTTAAAGAGAGAAACTTTTGTTTTTCTTTTTGGGCCACCCTGCCTTGGTGAGATACAGCCGGTTTAAAAAAAAAAAAAGTACATATTTGCACAGCTGAATGATTTATCTTTGGTGTAGCAAGAGCCAGTGCTTCTCTGGCACGTTTAAGCTTCATTGTCCATTCTATTTTCAATACTGAGTAAATTATGTTGTAGTATTATCTCTTTCTTCACTCCTAACTTCTTTCTTTTGTTGTGGGCAATTGTGTAGGAAGTTTTCAGGTATGAAGGCTATGTTTTAAGCAAGTCAAGATGATGAATAAGACAAAGGTAACATCCATCTTCTTTAGTGCTGAACTTTTCCCCTGTGCAGCAGTCTTTTACAGTTGAATACAATACACAAGAAGAGGATAGAAGAAATATACTTGAGCTTGTCAGTCCTTCAGCCTTGATAGATACTTGGTTCCTCAGCCTAAAACAGAGGAATGCAGTCAGACCTTATATACTGGAGCAAAGTGTGGTGTAGCAGCTGGAGGTGATATCACAGGTAAGTATGGCCTACTAGTGGAAGTAGGTCATGCTAAACTGTTTAGTAAAAAAGTTGCAGATTTTCCCTGTACCGAGATACAACAGTATACAACACCAATAAATTAATGTCTTATTCCTCAACTTGTCAGTACAGGAGGGCCCCGCTTTACAGCGCTTCGCTTTATGGTGTTTCACTAATGCAATGGTTTTCAATTACTATATCTATTCTTCATTTATCCAAACTTCCTACAATAAATATATTCACCACTCACTAAGCTATGGATGAAAATATTTTAAGGTAAGTAATGTGTGTGTGTATGTACTATATATGCATTTTTAGGCCTAGCTTTATTGATCATTTAGTATGATAGTGTAAATGTGTTATCAGGTTTTTATATACATTTGAAAGTGAAAAAAGGCTGTTTCACTTCATAGTGATTTTCGCTTTACAGGAGTAGCCCGGAACCTAACCTGCTGTATAAGTGGGGCCCACCTGTATTTTATACTGTACCACAAATAAAGTTATTCTCCAATATGCTCTATACCGCGATTCCACGATGTTCCTTTGTCTGACATTTCTCCCACAAGCAGCTTTATCAGTCTAACACAGGCATGATGAGTATCAGGACCAATGTCCTGATACTCATCATCTGATTGGGTATGAAATAATGATCCATCACTGGCTCCCAAAGAATTATCAGTGATGTACAAGTAGGGAGTCCCATTAACCCCTTCAGGGTCCAAGGCCCAAATCTGAAGTGGTGCCCCAGTGTCCAAGAATTTAAAAAAAAAAAAATGTTATTTTTTCTTATGAAATGACAGAGAATCTTTTTGTGAAGGTAATAAAACAAAAAGTACGAAATTTGATGAAAAATTGACGAAAATATGCTCTCGCGAATTTTGATGTGTCAGTGATATTTACGAATCGGCGATTTTGCCGAATTTGACTCCCATTTTAGGCCAATTACATTATTCCAGTCAACCAAATTCTCAGCTATTTCACTAGTATTACTTCTATTCTATCGACTGAGAACAAGAAATCGCCAAGTCAACTGTTTCAACTACAAATTAAAGTGATCAGAAATTGTTAATTTGGCCAATTTAACACAAAGTTCAAAATATTTCAATTTCAAAATAGGGTCCAGAATAAACAATGTAGGTATTCCTGGAACTAAACTAACATTTCCTCTGTTCATTAGTTACATTTTGAGGCTTTACAAATAAATTCCATTTTATTCACATAATGAATTTTTATTCACACCAAAAAATAGAAGATTTACTGTTATGCAATACTGTAATAATTGTATAAATATCATCACCACACTTGTGAATGTATATTAGACCCACAAGCTGGCGTGTATTAGACGTGTGAGGTCGTTTGTTTACTCTTGAATATCGGCAAAAATTTAACATTTCTGCTACTTTGAGCTCAGTTTCAAGCCATTTCCAGTGCTAAAACCAATCAAAATTATCTCTATTTCTGTAATATGTCTTCCATTCTATCAAATGAGACCAAGAAATTGCAAATACAACTATAAAAAACATACGAAAAAACACTGCAAAGTCGCTGTTTTAATCAAAAAATCATGATTTCAGTTTTTTTTCTCTCATTATACACAGTGTGCTGCAGGATCTGTTTTATGTGGTGCACACATACCACATAGATGTATTCTCTCATATCTAGGCCCAAATGTACCACTCACAGTTTATCAGAGTGAGCTGAGCTCATGACGTAGATCTACTGTTTGGACCCTGAAAGGGTTAATATCCAAATGTTGAGGCCCCAGTGATTTGACAACACAAGTTTAGGTGATGTTTACAGGTGCCTACATAGGAAACCCTGCAGAAAATTATCCATGTGTTTGCAAAATCTATTGTAGCCATCATAGTACAGCAGTAGAGTGCAAAACTAGCACATACTTGGCCTCGGGTTTGAAACCCACCCATCAATTAATGATAAAATTAAAATTAAACCTCAGCTCTTGTATGTAAAATATTTCAAGTCAAATACTTTTTACCCCCCCTCTCCCACTAAGACCCAAATTTAAATTTTGACCTTGGACACAAAGGCTTTCGGTCAACAGTAATGCAGACATGGGTGCAGAGCAAGGTTTACTGTGATAAAACTTCACAAAATAAATGTCACAATATATGACTGCTCTACATCTCTCCATTTTCTTCCTTTTTACTTTCTTCTTCAAAATTAAGTTTCATTACATATTAGGATTTCTTATCCCATCAGTAAAAGGAAGCTGCCATTAAAAGCATTGTAACTCACTGACATAAGACTCCCAGATAGCCAAGAAGCTGCCCTTAGGAGAAAAACAAATCTCCTGGGCACGTGGGTGCTTCAGAGATCCAATTCTCTGCCAAGTTGGAGCCTCAACCACAAACACCCTGCAAATATATAAAATTTTAGCTTAAAACAGCTCTCAATCTACATAAACCCATACAGATAAAGAAATGCTGAAATTGAAAATGGCTTGACAATGCACACAACAATATTTCAACCAAATAAATATTTATTCATCTGTCCAGTCATCCCTAGAAATCCACAAGGGTTGCATTCCTAAAGATCCTGTAAAAGAAGATATTAATACAAAATTAAGTCTATATATAAAACTTCATTTCAGATTTGAGTTTGTTTCAGAGAGCATACCTCTGTTATACATACATCCCTCTAAGCTTGTTAATACTAACATCTATAATAGATAAAGAAAAGAATAAGATTTAAGCATGGAAAATTTATTCAGCCAGAAAAAGATTTGATAACTAACTATATTCATTGGGTTGGTTTTCAGCAAAAACACTGGAAAATGAAAAATCCACGAATGTGGAAGTCAACAAAGTTGTAGAGACTGGGTTTCTTGAATCCATCACACACCAGGTCAATATGAATGAGGAACAATAGGTAAAACAATGGGAAGATGACCATTAATTTTTTATCTGGTGACACCAGTAGCAACATCAGAATGAGCTTTCCATTAACCCACTGACAGGTGGATTTTGTGCCTTGTAACATCATAAACTGTATAAATAAGAAATCCCCTGATTTATATATAAAAATAGGGGTAGGGTAGGGGATGTGTAGACCAAGTGTTTACATTGAAGTATACAAGTTAACAGCCTTTAGATAAGGTTAAAGAAGTTTTCATTGCATTTATGGATTTGTTAAAGGCATATGATATGCTGGATAGGTGAGCAATGTGGCAGGTATTGCAAGTGTATGGAATAGGTGGTAAGTTACAGAAAGCAGTTAAGAGTTTTTACAAGGATAATTAGGCTCAGATTAGGGTATGTAGGAGGGGAGATTATTTTCCTGCAAAAGTAGGCTGGAGACAAACATGTCACCATCATTGTTTAACATATTTATAAATAGGGTTGTAAAAGTGAATGCTAGGGTGTTGCTGAGAGGTGTGGGATTTATATACATATGCTGAATCTCATACAAAATGGGAGATGTCACAGGTGGCATTTACTGATGACACTGCTTTTGTGAGAATCAGAAGAGAAACTGCAAAGGTTGATAAACAAATTTAGAAGAGGAGGTAAAAGAAGAAAATTAAAAGTGAATATAGGGTAACAAATGAGTTGGGTAATTAAAGACTGGATATCAGATTGGAAGGAGGGAGTATGGAGGAAGTGAATGTGTTTAGATATTTTAGAGTGGACTGGTTCATGAAAGACTAGGTGAACCATAGAACTGATGAAGGAAAAAAGGTGGGTGGTGTACTGCGGCATCTGTGGAGACAAAGAGGGGAATGTATTAAGAGTACAGTGGTACCAATGCTCTTATGTGGGAGTGAAGCATGGGTTGTCAATATTGCAGTGAAAGGCTGGAGGCAATGGAGAGGTCACGACTGAGAGTAATGTGCGGTGCAAATATTATGCTGAGAATTTGTAGCTTACAGATTAGGACGAAGTGCACGGTTACTAAAAGTATTATCCAGAGAGCTGAAGAAAGGTTGCTGAGGTGCTTTGGACATTTAGAGGATGGAGCAAAACAAGATGACTTGGAGGGTGTGTAAATTTGCAGTGGAGGGAAGGCAGGGTAGGGGTTGCATAGGAAAGGTTGAAGGGAGGGGGCAAAGGAAGTTTTGTATGTGAGAGGCTTGGATATCCAGCATGCATGAGAATGTTAATAGGAGAAAGTGGAGACTAAGTGCTTTTTGGGACTTGACAAGCTGCTGGAGTGTGAACAAGGTAACATTTATGAAGAGAGTGAATGGTGAAAGTGTTTCTTCTTTTTCAAGTTGCCCTACCTTGGTGGGAGATGGCTGGTGTGTTAAAAAGAAAATAGTGAAGTGAATAGTAAATACTGTACCTGAAACTAGGAATATAAATAACATGGAGCATAGCAAGCCCTTTTTATTATATTTCATCCTAAACAGGGCTTTATCAAATCTTAGATAAGACTAGTCTAGATAGACTTGATAAGCCCTAATTAGGGAGAAACTTTAATTAGAAAGTGATAATTTAAAGCCTTTTATTTGTCAAAACAAAATCAATAAAATATTGTACTTAGTCTAAATACCACTTTCAGCATTTTATGACAAGCTGTATATTAAAAGAATACAAATTTGAAATGTAAAAACAAAACTTGTAAATAAAATTCTAACACTTACTGGCCATCTGCAATCCAAGCAAATCTCTTCCCATCTTTCGAAAAGACAAATGTCTTAACTTTCCCCTCAAAACCTTCAAAATTTGTAGAATTTTTACCAAAGTTTTGGGGACCATCAGTAAACTTTACCCCCTCAGGGGTGTGAACTGCAAAGCAAAATAAGTCCTCAATTAATACAATTTATGAGCAAATACACATTCATGTTTCTGCTTGTGAAAAACACTGATAAAACAAAGTAGGGAAAGCAAAGACCCCAAATCATGACCTGTCCTCTTAATTGCAACACTGGTTTTAAAGTACTATATAGAATATTAACTCGAGCCAATTTCTCTGCATGTGTAATTTTAAGTTAGCATCAGCCATCAAAGTGACAAAGAACACCATCTTCACCATCCCTAGTAATGGGTGCCAGCTAACATTACCTGTTGGGGCAAAGAAAAATCAAAGGTTCCTTCCTTTTAGGGGTAATGGGTACAGGTGAGAAATCATCACAACACATGATACACAGTTCCTTAAAACAGAAACATTCATATAAATCATGAATTTTACACCCACATTTTTGCATGTTTGCATTCAGCCAGGCATGTGACATAACACTATACTGAATAATTAGCTCAAGATGTGATGTGCACGCAAAATAAATGTACTACTGTACTGTACTTTTGCTAATACAAAATCTTCAAAAATAACAATAAGATTTTGTTTGGATTTTAACCTGAAGGGTTAGCCACCCAGGCTTAGACATCAAGGACTTATTTCCACTGGGATCATTTAATAATGTCCCCAGGATGCAGCACAACTTGACTAACACCCAAGTACCTGCTTACTGCTAGATGAACAGGGGCAGCAGGTATAAGGAAACATGCCCAACATTTCACCCATGCTGGAGACTGATCCCAGTCCCTGCATGCGAGCCGAGGACAGTATCAACCAAGCGAAGCCCCCCAAAAAATTTACTTGTTACTGATGACAATACAGCCTCTCCTCATTTAGCGACGTACTCATTTACCAACCGCTCGGAGTTACAACCAGCTCTCCAACCAGTATGCAAACCTAAATAATGTATATTAGAGCTGATTTCCTCTATTCTGTTTATTATGGTATATGGTACACAACTGTATAAACTGTTAAAAATATACTAGAAATGTAATAAATGGTGCAAAGGTGGTATTAAAAAAATATCTAAAGATGGTTGACACAAACCCACTATCAGCATAATATGCTTCTAGCTTAATGACCAATTCACTTACTGACCTACTCTTGTGATTGTGATGAATGGTTTTGAAACTGACAAGCTGAAGAATTGAGACACTTGCGCAACAATAAAGATTCCCACATGTTGCATAAGTGTCTCAATTCTTCGATCTACTCTGAGGAGCAGAACCCCATCGTTAAAAGTGAGGAGAGGCTGTACTAGAAAGCTACAGGAGGTTTGGCCTCATATCAAAAAGTAACAGAAGTCTTACGGTTATGCTTCAACTTCATATAAGGTATCCTTGGTTAGACAACCTTTAGATTATGCTGCTAAGTTCTGGTCTCATTATTACTGAATAAATGCACTGAAAAATATGCAGGGAAGGATGACAAAGTTAATGATAAGTATCAGAAATTTTTCATATGAAAATAGATACTGAAGTGTACAAATGGAAAACAGGAATAAAGGGGATATAAATAACATGCTGAAAGAATCAAACCAGAACAAATGTAGTGATATTATCAGGGGCCTGGGGAGGTTATGCACCTCCTGGGGAAGTTATTAGGGGCCTGGGGAGGTTATTAGGGGCCTGGGGAGGTTATTAGGGGCCTGGGGAGGTTATACAGGGCAATAGAATTTTAGTTGAGTGGCACAAACTCCCAAGTGATGATAGTTTATTTAGGTATAGGTACATAAGTACAATTATCATACATAGTTTAACATGTGTAAATTACGTAGGATAACCCACAGAAAAGTCAAAGTAGCTTATTTTCCCATGTAATGTCACTATGTTAGGAACTTTGGGCAGCATTAAATATAGGTTGGGCGAGAACACGAGCGTGAGAGTTGGACCTGCCTAACATGGGCCAGTAGGCCAGGTGCTAAATTCCTTCATTCTGTGTTATTCCGTGATGTATAGAGGTCTATATACTGCAGAAACCTAATAAGTTTATTCAAGCACAGGTACACATAAGTACAAGTGTCATCCATAGCATAAATTATCTAAGATAACCCAAAAAAGAAGTCAGACAAAGTGACATTTCGAAGCCAGATGGACAATACCATTCCGCCCAGGAGTCGCACAACCCAGCTACAGGACAGTCACTTACAACTTCTAGGGTCCAGTACATTTAAAAAATTACCAGTACACATGTAAATAAACACTTCCACAATAACTAAATCTCCAATGACCATGCTATTTCCTTCCATACCTCGAAACTAAAAGGACACTAACATATGCTCCAGCGCCATTTCCTCAGACCCGCAGCACACATCCCCTCCTCCAACCACCTGGGATCACAGGCTCGAACCTCCGTCAACAAACCACGCGATTAAATCAAGAAAAAAGCCACAATAATACCTGCAAAGTGTGTCATAATGTTGATGGGACTGACACCATGCCGCACACAACGCTAAAGACCTCTGGCAGAGACCGGACCAGCCAATCACAACGCACCTCTCCCGAGGAAGAGACAGAGACAGCCAATTGCAACGCAGCTCCCTTCAGGAAGCCCAGCCAATCAGAAGAGAGTTTTCCGCAGGCTTCTACAGGGAGGCGCTGTATAAATATTTACAATTATTGGGACTGATGTTGCATTTAAAATTATAATTCTGGTTCACTTCGGGAGGGGAAAAACTTATAATAATGCTGCATGCATCAGAAAAATGATTAAGTTGCGTAATTGCTACATTCACTATAATGATTCCTTCATATTATAAGTAAGTTATAATTTAGTAGGATAAGCACAAGAAACAAGAAAGTAAGAACCTAAGTAAGCACGCAAGTATGTAAATTAATAAGCAAGTAAGTTAGCAAGCAAGCATGTTAGCAAGTAAGCTAGCAAACAAGTTAACAAGCAAGCAAGTTAGCAATTAGAAAGCAAGTTAACAAGTAAGTTAGCAAGTAAATTAGGATGTAAGTTAGCAGGTTAACAAGCAAGTTAGCATTAGTAAGTAAGTAAGTAAGTTTATTCAGGTATACACAAATACAGTAACATAGAATTATCATACATAGCAGCATATGTGTAGAGAACCTGGGATAACCCAAAAAAGTCAGACAGAGTGACTTATTTCCATTGGGGCCCTTTTACCTTATTATTATAATATAAAGGTTATAATATTTTCTTATTATTCTATAATGAAGATAACATCTTATTATTTTTTTTTTATTATCACACTGGCCGATTCCCACCAAGGCAGGGTGGCCCGAAAAAGAAAAACTTTCACCATCATTCACTCCATCACTGTCTTGCCAGAAGGGTGCTTTACACTACAGTTTTTAAACTGCAACATTAACACCCCTCCTTCAGAGTGCAGGCACTGTACTTCCCATCTCCAGGACTCAAGTCCGGCCTGCCGGTTTCCCTGAATCCCTTCATAAATGTTACTTTGCTCACGCCGCAACAACGGCAAAATAAACACCCAATTATGTCTCGCTTGAGTTCTAAAACCGTATTCCCTGGACCGGGGAGAGTACAAGCCATATACACGAAAACTCCTGATTATACCAACTTGCACACGAAAATCACTATACGAAGAAAGACTTCAGACACACCTACCCCAAGCGTTCACTGCACGTTACAGACCTATACATAGTGTCGAAGTCATCTGTTTCAGCTCCTCCCACACTAAACCTACCCAACAACCCTCCTCTCAGCTCCTGTGGATAAACAGTTTCTGAATCACCGGCGTGCCTCGTACGTTCCAACTACGAATTCCTGCATTATCACACCACACTGCCCTCAGAATGACATCTCCACTGACGCCAGCCTTACCCTCGAACTCTGCAACTCATAAACTCCAGCAGCACACCAATATAAAACATTGGTAAAACTATACTCCTCATACATCCCCATCTTGCTCCAAGTGCAAAGTCCTTTACCTCCACCAGACTCCTAGTGCACCACCCCCTCTTCCTTCCCTCCATCATTCTTATATTCACCTCATCTCTCTACATAAACCACCCACACCTTCTGCCCTGGGCAACGTGTTCCCACTCCTCCCAAATATCTGAATACGTTCATACTTCCCCATACATCTCTCCTCCAACATGATATTCAATCTTTCATCATCCTAAATCTTATGTTAACCTATAAAGCATGTAAACCTTTCCTATAATTCCCCTTTTAAAAGTTCTTTGTTCCACAGACTACCTAAATTGCACCACCACTCTTTTCTCCACCTCTTCAATTCTCACCTCTTCACAGCTCTGCTAGCAAGAGCAGCTTGACAATACTGAATACGTTCACCTCCTCCATACTCTCCCCCCTTCCAACTGATATTCAATCTTTCATCACCTAATCTTTTTGTTATCCTCATAACCTTACTCTTTCCTGTATTCACCTTTAATTTTCTTCTTTTGCACACCCTACCAAATTCATCCACCAATCTCTGCAACTTCTCTTCAGAATCTCCCAAGAGCACAGTGTATCAGCAAAGAGCAGCTGTGACAACTCCCACTTTGTGTGTGATTCTTTATCTTTTAACTCCACGCCTCTTGCCAAGACCCTCGCATTTACTTCTCTTACAACCCCATCTATAAATATATTAAACAACCACGGTGACATCACACATCCTTGTCTAAGGCCTACTTTTACTGGGAAATAATTTCCCTCTTTCCTACATACTCTAACTTGAGCCTCACTATCCTCGTAAAAACTCTTCACTGCTTTCAGTAACCTACCTCCTACACCATACACTTGCAACATCTGCCACATTGCCCCCCTATCCACCCTGTCATACGCCTTTTCCAAATCCATAAATGCCACAAAGACCTCTTTAGCCTTATCTAAATACTGTTCACTTATATGTTTCACTGTAAACACCTGGTCCACACACCCCCTACCTTTCCTAAAGCCTCCTTGTTCATCTGCTATCCTATTCTCCGTCTTACTCTTAATTCTTTCAATAATAACTCTACCATACACTTTACCAGGTATACTCAACAGACTTGTCCCCCTATAATTTTTGCACTCTCTTTTGTCCCCTTTGCCTTTATACAAAGGAACTATGCATGCTCTCTGCCAATCCCTAGGTACCTTACCCTCTTCCATACATTTATTAAATAATTGCACCAACCACTCCAAAACTATATCCCCACCTGCTTTTAACATTTCTATCTTTATCCCATCAATCCCAGCTGCCTTACCCCCTTTCATTTTACCTACTGCCTCACTAACTTCCCCCACACTCACAACTGGCTCTTCCTCACTCCTACAAGATGTTATTCCTCCTTGCCCTATACATGAAATCACAGCTTCCCTATCTTCATCAACATTTAACAATTCCTCAAAATATTCCCTCCATCTTCCCAATACCTCTAACTCTCCATTTAATAACTCTCCTCTCCTATTTTTAACTGACAAATCCATTTGTTCTCTAGGCTTTCTTAACTTGTTAATCTCACTCCAAAACTTTTTCTTATTTTCAACAAAATTTGTTGATAACATCTCACCCACTCTCTCATTTGCTCTCTTTTTACATTGCTTCACCACTCTCTTAACCTCTCTCTTTTTCTCCATATACTCTTCCCTCCTTGCATCACTTCTACTTTGTAAAAACTTCTCATATGTTAACTTTTTCTCCCTTACTACTCTCTTTACATTATCATTCCACCAATCGCTCCTCTTCCCTCCTGCACCCACTTTCCCACATCTTATTATCATACTAAAAAGACTATCTACTACACGAGGGTCATTAAGACTATCTACTACACGAGGGTCATTAAGACTATCTACTACACGAGGGTCATTAAGACTATCTACTACACGAGGGTCATTAAGACTATCTACAATACGAGGGTCATTACTAGGAATATGGTAAAATTTACACGTATGTTAGCTAAAAAATAGAAAATCATTCCCCTCCCTTTCTGTAGCTACATTCATCAGACACCTTTTGGCACTCTTCTTGAACTGGTTCATGCTATGACTGGCTTTGACATGTGCGGGTAGTCTGTTCCATTCCTTTATTGCTGTACAATAAAAGGTGTTTGACGCCTGGCCACTGACTGTGGGTACTACAAAGTTGTGCTCTCTCCCCCTAGTACTATGATTGCTTTGGTTCCCAACCTTGACAAAATTAACAGCAAGATATTCTGGACATTGTTTGTGAGCAATTTTATAAAGATGATTTAGCTTCAGTTGTTTTACTCTGTCTTCAACATTCAGCATATCCAACTGCTTTCACTTCTGCCATACTTCCTCCCTCCAATCTGATACCCAATTTTCCTTTACCCAACTCGTTTGATACTCTCATCACTTTACTCTTATATATGTTCACTTTCAACTTTCTTCCTTTATACACCCTCCCAAACTCGTCCACTAATCTTTGCAACTTCTCTCCGGAATCTCCAAAAAGCACAGTATCATCACCAAAAAGTTACTGCGCCAACTCCCATTTTGTATTTGATTCCTTATAATTCAATCCCACCCCTCTCCCTAACGCCCTAGCATTTTCTTCTTTTGCAACCCCATCTATAAATGTTAACCATGGTGACATTACACATCCTGTCTAAGACCTACTTTTACCGAGAAGTAGTCTCCCTCTCTCTTACACACCCTAACCTGAGCCTCACTATCCCAATAAAAGCTTTATATAGCATTAGCAACTTATCACCTATTCCATACACTTGCAAAATCTGCCACATTGCTCCCCTATCATATGCCTATCCTGAATCCATAAAAACAACGAAAACTTCCCTACCTTTATCTAAATATTGTTCACTCATATGATTTAATGTAAACACATGATCTACACATCCCCTACCCATTTTAAAGCCTTCTTGTTCATCTGCGATCCTGCTCTCTGTCTTACCTTTAATTCCTTCAATAATAATCATACCATACACTTCACTTGGTGTACTCAGTAGGCTTATTCCCCTATAATATTTATACTCTCTTTTGTTCCCTTCCCTTTAAATAAAGGAACTATGCATGCTCTCTGCCAATTCCTAGGTAGCTTCTCCTCTTTCATGCATTTATTGAACAAAAGTACCAACCACTCCAAAACTATATCCCTACCTGTTTTTAACATTTCTATTATGATCCCATCAGTTCCAGCTGCTTTACACCCTTTCATTCTACCTAATGCCTCACGAACCCCCCCCATACTCACATCTAGCTTTTCTCCACTTCTAAAAGATGTTATACCTCCCTGGCGAATGCATGAAATCACTACCTGTCTCTCTTCATCAGTATTTAAGAGTTCCTCAAAATATTCCCACCATCTTCACAGTACCTCAAACTCGCTCCCCATCTACTAACTCCCCTATTCTGTGTTTAACGGTCAAGTCCACTTGCACCCTAGGCTTTCTTAACCTATTTATGTCACTCAAAATTTTTTTTATTCACAGCAAAATTTGTTGAGAGTGCCTCACCCACTCTATCATTTGCTCTCCTTTTGCACTCCATTACCACTCTCTTCACTTTTTTTTACTCTCCATATACTCCACCCTTATATCACTTCAGTTTTGTAAAAACCTCTCATAAAAAAACTTTTTCTCCCTCATCACATCC